GAAATACAGGGTCAAAAGTTTCATTGGAAGATATTTCTCTATAGTTTTTAGCTAATCTATTAACAATTTCAAGAGGAAAGGTGACAAGTTGATTACCTATTTTGAGACTAGATATTGGGGATGACTCCTTTATACCAGAAATTTTACGTATTTTTTCCATACTTCTCTTTCAGGAGTGCAGCTGTTAATGCTAGAGACATATTGGGCCCAACTGGATTTTTTTGTTTGATTTATTAAACGTTGAGTTCTAGCCTTCATTTTTTGCAGTTAATTTTATTTTCGAGTGTTTTATGCTTCTTAAATATATTAAAAGCTGTTTGCTGGGACGTACTGCTTCGTTACAATCCGAATTTCACCAAAGCACAGGAACATGATTTTTAATGGGCTTTGTTTTGCCGATATAGATCTCCGCACTCTGCAAGATGACACTGTTAACGTCATATGATTTTGTTGATTTTATGCATGTATGTTTCTCGTTGTTTTTAACTTTTTTGACTCTAGATTTGGATGTAGCTACAGCAAATGATTTTTTTTTGTATGAGTTGTTCCTGGAGCCATAAGAACATCATTGGTACTACGTTTCGGCTAAAGTTAGATATTAATTACTTAGCTATCTTTCCATGGTGTTAACTTCTTGACCATTAGCAATGTTAGGATTGCTCAGAATATTTGCTAATTTTTCTTGGACGGAAATTTATTCGTTTGATATGAATGTTGCTGCATGTTGAAATATGATGTCAGAGGAGAAAGGAGTAGTAGATTGACGGTTATTAGAATCAATTAAATTTGTTGTTGATTCTAGTTTATCGGGACAGTTGGTGGCGATATGGCCAGACTTTTTGCAGTTTCAACAGGCAATAGTTTCTTGAGATAAGAATATTTGATATGTTGCATTATCGAAGTCTAAGGTGAATGAGTCGGGTAAGGAGTAATTATGGGGACTAAAGGTATATTTGTCTTCTGAAACTTAAAATATGAATATATTCGGGAAGAGTGGAACTAGAAAAGTGACAGGAGAGACCATATTAAGTCCAATATTTCTTAGATACTTAACTAACAGACTGTGTGGTATTGTTGGACATACGTTTGAAAAAAACAATACGTTCCGCTGGTAAGATTAGTCTTCTAGCTTGTACAATATTGTTTTGGATTTCTATTTGTCCATAGTTTTGCATGAATTTGTCCACGATTTGTTTGTTTGCAAAGAAATTAAGTAATATTGCAGTCGCGTATTTTCTAAAGCGCTGAAGACAATTGCTTGATGTTTTGAGGGAAAATGTGTAGAAGCTGCTGATGAATAGGTTTAATTGGTATTTGTCTGTAGTTGCGATACTTGTGGTGTATTAGAGAGACTCTGTATCTTAGGTTCCATTTTTGATTTTAACACGGGCATTTGTTTAAAAATAATACGGACCTGACTAGTAATCAAACAGATAATAAGACTGGAATAATATTTCTTGAGTAGTATCTTATTGATTGTTGTTAAATTAAAAATCAACCAAGAACTGGTTGATCACGTTATATAAAAGAAAACTAATATTGTGTTTATTTACTGGTTTTTCATGTAACTGTCACTTAACTATTTAAACACACAGCGTTTCAGCGCTTTTTTATGTTTGTTGATACGCTTGGAACACCTAAATCTTCCTTCACCATCCACTTTCAAAACACTGCCGCAATCTGGACATATTCTAGTATTTTTTAATACCACATGTGAATAAAAAAGTTCATAATTTCATTTTTACAGTCCATTCGAACGCGATCATTGTAAGAAATTTCACATGAGGTGACACTAGCCATTTTAATTGTTATAAAGAAATACAACTGAACGTTACTAAGAACAAATTATTTATAAAGAGCCACCTAAAATTTTTGGAATAGTCCAACGGGTGGATGAGAATGTTGTCAAGTTAAAATATTTTTATAAATATTATTTATAAAAATATTTAAACTTGACAATATCTAATACTATTTTAATATATTTTTTCATATTTAAAATTGATTTGGCAACAATACCTAAAAAGATGTTATTGCAATTGTCACACTGTTGCCAATGTTCGACATACTTTATTCTCGTTAATGAATAGTAAAAAAAATAACACCAATATGCCTCTATATTCTTTGATAACACTTAAACTAACCCAATCGAATCAAGCTAAATAGCATAACTTGATTAGATTAAGTTAGTTTAAATAGTTTATACCAATAAACAAGCTACAATATATATGATGAAATACGAAATAAAAATAATATTTAATAAAGTGCAAAATAAAAACATTATACTTAATAAATTAGTCGACAACACTGCAAACAGGAAATCAAAAGTTGCTTGAAAACCGGAAATTGAAAAGACCTACCTGATCAAACCCAAGGTTAGTAGATATTTAAGTAGGTTGCCTCGTAACTATAGACCAATTGAATTCTCGCTTTTTAAAGGCGGGAATACGTCACTCATACGACACTTTTAAAATTGCCATAAGCTTCAATGCTAATAAAAGGTTTAAAAACTTAGGTTTTGCAATATATTTTGGGATTTTCTTGGGTATAGGGATGTTAAGTGGTTCTTATATTAGTAATTATATCAACTTTTTTTTAAATAAATAGTCTGATGACAAAAAATATAATTGATTCTATTGATAATATTGTGTGTTTTAAATGGAGATAACAGTTTATTTCGCACAAAAACCCAAAAAAAAAACGTAGAAAAAGTTTAAAAACAAAAATACGAAATATCTATTCATTATTATAACGTACAAAACTACATATAATTGTTAGACAAACCTTGATATCACAGCTACGACAACACACTTCACAAGTGTTTATGTACACAAATAACTAAATAAAGTCTCTCTAAATAATATTGTTCTTATATCTATATTGAAAAATAAAAACTAAACAATAACTAAACAAATAAACGTCTTAATGAGAAAACATAACCAGATCAAACCTAACCCAATGCAATTCTAAGCTGCAATATACACAAGTTAATAAATTTAAAAAACAAAATATTTTCTTTTTTCGATGAAACGCGCATATCTTTTTAACATATTAATTTACAAGAAACAATATTTTTTGAAAATATGGCAACATTGGTAGAAAAGTGACATGACATTAACAACAACACAATCAAAATGGACAAAATATTTGAAAATTAATGTCAAAACACGCAATTTTTAAACGAAAATTATAGAAAAAATATGCATTAAAATACAGAATCCGCAATTTTTAGAACATTATAAAGTGAGTACGAAGCCATACATAACAAATATTCCAAGATTTAACTTGTATTTACCGTCCCCGGTTTTCTTGAATAATACCATTATTTGAGATCAAAAGTCATAAAAAACTATTTGTAGAGGACTAAATTCTAAATTAAAAACAAATGTTTAAACCGTTCTACGAATCAAATGTACTTAAAAATTTTGCAAAAATATAATAGATTTTTTAGACCACCCCTAAAAGTTAGGCCACACGTAATACAAGAATATATTATAACGTGTGTGTTTTATCATATTGATGTCAGATGTTTGACAATTTGAATTGTCAATTTTTTTTATTTTATGATTAAATTATAAACAATGAATTTTACTAAATACTACTACTACTGAACAATATTACTTTGTGAACAATAAATTATATTGTTTACAAATCGATCAATATAATGAAATGTACTCAGTTGACGAAAAATCGCATAATGTTGTATTCAGGCAATAGCGCGAACCTTTTCCTGTCACTACCAGATCTTTATTTAACATAAGATATTCTAATACACTAAAATTTAATTAGATGTCGAGACACGTTAATTTCAATAAAAAAAAAATTCCATGTTAAGTTAAGTTATACAACAATTCAATGAATTCCAATATACTGTTACTGTGATCTTTATTCCTAATAATAATATACGATAATTTCTAAACATAAAACTATAACAAATGTTATAATAAAACATGAATAAAACATTTTTATTATTGCTATTTTCTCCTTAACTGAGTATATTTTTTAATCAACTTAATTTTTCTAAGTAATAAATCACAAAATTTTGGCCATTTAAATCATAGATAAATATAATAAGTTGATTTAAATATTGTCAAATATTAGACACGTCAATATGACAAAACGCAACACGTAATACACATTCTTTTCACGGCGTCTGGCCTGACTTTTAGGCATCGAGCAATAAGACAAAAGAGGGAATCTAATCCTTATGAAAAGGAGACCAAAAAAGTGGCCTCTGATGGCGGACATATCCGGAAATGCGAATGCGCGAAATTTAAATTTTCCGACACTTATCAACAGTAGCTATATAATATTTTTCAGAATGTGTCTTAGACGAGAAAGTTTTAATTAATTATTAATGATAAGAGTCTAAAATGCGGCACAATTGTTAAAAAACTTCAATATAAATAAGATTTCATGTGACATTTGGGACAAACAATAACATAACCCAACTAAATTTGATGTCAAACAAGGAGAGAGACTCTCTTTCCTTGTTTAAAGTGGCCTCTAAAGATCGCACTTCCTGTCTAACAATATGTTTGCCCCCACTACCTTTACATTCCCTCTATTGTCTTTTTGCTCGATGCTTTTAGGGGTGGCCTGAAAAATGTATTATATTTTAGCAAAATTTTGGAATGCGTTTAAGTCGTAGAGCAATTTTAACAATTCTTTTCGATACGTATTTGTGTCCTCTACAAATAGTTTCTCATGACTTTTGGGGTAAAATAATTAGGGAAGCAGGAATTCAACAATTTAGAATTTCTCATTGAGTTTTCTATGGCCCGTTTGACGATTCAACACCCTGTATATATGTATATATATATATATATATATATATATATATATATATATATATATTTATATATATATATATATATATATATATATATATATATTATGTACACAGGCATTCACAAACACATATATCTATACAATACACATACACACTACATTCTATGCACACACACAAATATTTCTTTACTATCAATTTTTTTTATTTTTAGGGGAACGATTTGGAAAACTTAGCGCTAAGGTGGCTATCATCACGGTTTTATTAAATAGTAGAGTGACACTTTGTAAGGAATCACCGAATCCTGTTCGATTCGAACCTAAAAGTTTCCTGTTACAGTCTACTGTTGGCTTACCAATAATGTTTAATCCCATATAATTCAAGCTGTGGTTAAAATTTGTTTATTTTTTAATTTCAGATTTTAAATCTTTAATTGCATGTTTATGTGTATTGTAGAAATTCAGAAATCCGTATTCTAAAAATATTTAATAATAATAAAATTATTTATATCACATGTAAATAATTTATAATATATAATAAATTAAGAGAGATATTGCTTAAATATCTTTCTTATAAAACTTCAAAATTCAATACTATTTTATTTGAATTACATTAAAATATTTCCTGTCTACTGCTGATTTTATATCTCAAATTATGAACTTGGCGTCATCCGTATTGACTGAAGTTTCTCGAAATAGAAAATATAACTGTCACCATATATTCTTGTCATCAAAGCTCTAAAAAAATTGAGTCTATAAGAGCATAATAGAATTACCAGCTGACAAAATGGCAACGCAACTGTAATTAGAGACACAAAAAAAATATCAATAGAAGATTCAAGAATTAGTCCTAGATGAACCTTACACGAAACTAACAAAGGATCTAACTAAATCACTGGAAAACAAATATATAAAACATTATACAAATCAAGTAACGCCTGATAGGGTGTTTCTTGATTTGTCAGAATAACATTATCACCAGTCTACCAGGTCACCACACTATCTTCTTCTTCTTCTCGTGCCACTCCTAGCGGAGATTGGAAATCATCATGGCCACTGCGACTTTGTTAGCAGCGCGCCTAAAAAGTTCAATCGAACTACACCCGAACCATTCACGTAGATTACGAAGCCACGATATTTATCTTCACCACACTATACGAAGTCCCAAAAATTCACAAAGAAAATGTGCCCCTCAGACTAATTTCTGGAACAAGGGCTTTCCTTGCACCAAACTATCCTTCGCAGTTCCTCCTAGACACAATACAACAACATCCAATAAAACTCATAACATTTCATACAAAAACTAGCACAAATATATCACAATTACAATATGCTAGTTAGTTTTGATATCACTAACCTTTTCACCAATATGCCACCAACATTAGAGGAAACTTATAAAGGAAAATTTGAGACGGACGATACATTGACAACAAAAACTGAACTTAATGTATTAGCTATTATGAAGTTACTAATTCTTTACATAGTTATTACTTCAACTAAGAATTTTGTAAAAAAAAAATTGGATTAGCCATGGGTTCATTTGTATCTCCATTATTAGCACATCTATTTTTGGAGGATTTCGAAAAAAACATTATACACAAACAAGAAATACAATCCATTTTGTGGAAAACAGTTAGTCTGAAGGTAATATCACATCGAGTTTTTAAATGTAACGCGCGTATTGTAATAAGGGTGTGAAATAAATTAGTTATATTGTACAAATAAAGACTTAAAAAAAACTTGTAAGTGTTATAAATGTAGAACTTTTGATAATAAATAAAGACAATAAATTATATTAATAAAAACACAACAGTAGTGTTCAGAAGTAAATATTTTAAATAAATTGTGAAAATGACGACGATTTACGAGCTCACAGTTACGGATTTAAGAAGACATCTCGAGGTCAGAGAATTAGCTTCTACTGGAAAAAAAGGCTGATTTAGTCCAACGACTAAAGAATGATTTAAAAGAAGAGGGTTTGGATCCGGAAACTTATATATTTGAAGATAAACATGTTGCTGTCATCTCGTCGATTTCGAAATTGAAGAACAAAGTTTCTGACGATATTTCGAAAGTTTCTTCTGATATAGCCAAAGTTTTTGGTGATGTAGCCATAGTATCTGGTGATGTAGCCAAAGTTTCTGGTGACATCGCATCATTAGAGAACAAAGTTTTCGGCGACATCGCTTCTTTAGAAGACCAAGTTTCTAATGAGATTTCTTCTCTATAAAGCAAAGTTTCTGGCAACATCTCTTTGGAAATCTCTCAAGTCACTTCTGAGATATCTGCCCTCGACGATAGAGTGTCTTCGTTAAAAACCAAGTTGCTGCCGATATGTTGGCCTTTGAAGAAAAGATAAAGGCAATGAAAAGGAAGATTCAGGAAACAGGGACAGCAGAGAGAGGAAACAATCCAATTACAGTAGAGACAAAAGAAGACGAGACGAAATGTAAGTTGGAAACACTGCCGAAATTTAAAGGAAGTGGAGGTTCTGTTCATGTCAAAGTCGCAATTTTCGACGGAAAATCATCATGGAACAACTACATGAAACAGTTATAATCAGCTGCAAGAGCGAATGGATGGTCTGAAAAAGAAAAGGCTGTAAACCTGACTATCGCTCTTCGAGGAGATGTCTTAGATGTGCTTCAGATCATAGCCGTAGAGGAGAAGGATGATTTCGAACAACTTAAGAAGAGGTTAAATATGCGATATGGCCATGAACATTTGGAGCATGTTTATCAGTCGCAGCTTAAAAATCGAAGACAAAAGAAAGATGAGACTCTTCAAGAATATGAGGAAGATATTGCCAGAGTAGTACGATATGCTTATCCAACAGCTCCCAAACACATGATGGAAAAGTTGGCCGTTCAAACGTGTATTGATGGTCTTCGTGATCATGAAATGCAGAGAACACTACGATTAGCTCGTCATTAGACGCTGGTTGATGTGTTATCCGCCGCCCTCGAATACAAGTCAGCTACGCAGGCCTATGGCAAGCACAGTAAAGTTAGGACTGTGAAAGAGGAAGGGGATGAAGATTGGACAGGAACTTGACCAGCTCGTTGATATGATGAAAAGTATTACATACAAGAAAACTAAGACTATAAGATGCTTTAATTGTGGCGATATAGGACACGTACGAAGTTTATGTAAGCTCCCTATCCAAGAAAGCAACAGTGCTAAGAACGACGATGGTCAACGACGACTGGACACATACTGAGGTAAGGTAAGAACAAGAGAGAGGATCTAGTTGTACAGAAAATTCGAAAATAGAAAGAAGAAAACCGTCGACCACCTTGGCAGGAAATATCAAACCTATCCTCAGTAGTTAAGACGTATTGGGACCAGTGTGACTCATTTATTTTGGAAGATAGCTTGCTCAAACGAGTCCTGAAAAATAATGATGGTTCAGAAAAGAAAAGACAGTTGGTGATCCCAAAGAAGAGAATAGCCGAAGTACTTCGTTAATTACACGACAGTTCATCAGGAGGGCATTTTGGTGTAAAGAAGATCCTTCAGCGAATTCGGGAACGGTTTTATTGAATGAACAGTTCCGACGACGTAGAAGACTGGTGTAGGAAATGTACTATTTGTGCTACGAGTAACATGCCTTACCGAAAAAGGAGAGCTCCTATGAGACAATACAATGTTGGAAGCTCGTTTGAAAAAATAGCTTTGGACATTGCTGGGCCATTTCGAGAAAGTGAAAATGGAGGCAAGTACATATTGGTAGTAGTGGATTATTTTCCTAAGTGGGTCGAGATTTATGCACTTCCAGACCAGAAGGCCGCAACCATTGCAGATAAGTTGATCCGACAATATATTAGTCAATTTGGAGTGCTTTTGGAGATCCATAGTGACCAAGGCAGGAACTTCGAAAGCGATCTACTCCAAGGAATATGCGATAGACTAGGCAGACCTCCTACTGGTCGGCTGTAGTACTTGAGGATAAATCAGCGTTACCAAAACAATTTTTTATAAATCGTGAAAAAACGCAAATTGAATGCTTTGTGATGATAATTTATTGAAAAAACTTTTATAACTTTATTTCAAATAAAATTGTCTCGAGGAGTGCATCCATTCCTTGCGGCCGCATAACTGGATAATTTTAGTTGTTATATTTGCAAAAATAGTAAACAGTCTGCGGAGTCGAGGCTCTCCATTGACCGGACCTGTCGGCCAATGACCGACGCGCCCTGCCATCGAGGTCCCGTTCCCTCGAGTATATATTCAGAGAGCTCCGAAAAATCTCGCTAGTATTCAACGATCGCCGGTTTTCAATAGTGACAATGGAACGGAACGGTACAAGAAAATAGAACACCTAAATATACGTTTTTATTTCCGAGTGAGCGTCGAATTGTGTTGAAAGTGGAAAATTATTTTCTTTTAGAAAAAATCAACATGGGACCAATTACATCAGTACTGGCAGTTCAAAAAATGACAAGTGCAGCTTGTGGAATTTCAGAACGGACCTTGCAAAGAGTTCGCAAAATGAGTAAGGAGGAATTAAGTAATTAAAGTAAAAGGATTCGTTTGCATCCAAAAACCCTCGACTTGCCACAAGGTATTAAAATCTCAATCAAAAATATTATTTATGACATGTACATGTACAAAAGAACGTGTTACAAGAAAGACACTTATTTACAAAATAAAGGACAGAGAACTTTGTGATATGGGTTTGACCAGTTAATCAAAAGTATTAAAAGCTACGGGTTTTAGATACAAAAAAACCAATAATCGTAAAGTGTCCAACGTTGTTGGAAGAAGGTGGAAATTTATAAGAAACTATTTAAAAAACAAGAATTTCGAATTTGCCAGACAATTTGTGTTTCTTGACGAAACATGGATTTTTGCGAAAGGAAATTATACCAAATCATCCTGGCAAGATGATTCTACCAAATGCTATTCGAGTATTAGTGCGAGTAATGTCAAAAGATATATTATATTGCATGCAGGAAATACGGAAGGTTTTATACCCAATGCTAGTCTTATATTTTCTTCAATAAAAAAACTGATGATTACCACGGAAATATGGACGCAGATATTTTTGAACATTGGTTTGAGAACAAATTATTAAAAAATCTGGAAAATCCGTCATTAATAGTCTAAGACAATGCTTCGTATCACACCAGAGAGGAGGAAAAGTTTCCCACAAGCAGCTGGAAAAAAGAAAGAAGAAAAATATAGAACACGAATACCTAGTTTTAAAAGCTGAATTATTAAATAAGTGCAAAGAACGCATTAGTGAGATCCGGGTCGTCGTTGACCAAATAGCACTAAAATGTGGTCATGAGGTCCTAAGACTACCACCATATCACTGCCAGTACAATCCAATAGAATTGGTGTGGGGCATTACTAAAAACTACTATGATAAACATGCATTTAAGACCACCGACGAAGCCAGCGTTTTACAACTCTGGAAAGATGCACAATGGGGAAACAATGGCGGAAATGTATTGACCATACTGAAAAAAAATTTTAGAGTCATATGAAATAGAACAAGTTGTTAATGAAGTAAGACCTTTAATTATTCGTAGTACAGATGAAGATTGAGATGAATCGGATAGCGAGTCAGTTAGTGATGATACCTGTCCATAGATTAAGACGTAAATAGAAAAATTAACACAAAAGGGTACTAACCACAAAAAAAAATAAATAAATAAAACAAAAACCGCATGCAGGAGAGAGCAGGAGGCACGCCGCACGACGCTCTTGATTGCAAGCACCAAAAAAATTAGATTAACAAGTAAGGTAGATTAAGGACATGACTGGACGAAGGTATTAGACGACGGATGAAAGGATTCGATGCTTGCTCGCTCTCGACTGCACTTGGTGCAGAAAAGGGAAAACAAGTATCGGCACACACAACAATCATTAGATCGCCGAACAATTGCTTTAACCGGTAGTGATAAAGCCAAATGGGCTAACCTACCACTTAAATGTAAATACACGGAAATCTCCCATTGCCTGACGGGGGATACCGCGTAAATATCTCAAAAACGGCTATTTTTTCAAAAATGGTATCCCAATAAAAATCGATCCAGAATTTTACGTTGATTCTAAAAAAAAATAACAAAAAGCGAGTTTCTATTTAAAATAAGAAACTAAATGGCGACTTCCGGTACAACCGGAAGTGCTAGAAGAATGCATATATTTAAAAAATGAAGAATGCTTTGCATAACCCATTATTCGAAGTTTGCAGAAACCAGTGACGACCAGAACTTTGAAAACTTTTAACCAACATGTTGCGTGAATGACCCTGTATATTTCATACTCAATGTTTATCAATTTACATTATGATATTCAATTATTATAAAACATAATATAAAGTTATTTTATTAAAAAAATCCCTAATGTATTATCAAATTAAGAAAACCCTACATTTTTAATTTGAGAAACGCTGACTACCTGTGGCAAATCTAAACAGACAGATTACTTATGCGACATTATTATTTATTACTTATGCGACAGGCTAAAACGATCCTACTTTAATAGCTCGCCGCCTTAGCGGTGCTACCGCCATAGTGTTAAAATAATGCAATTTGTGTATGTACTTAAATGTTATTCGATTTTAATTTTTGTATATAAATATAATAATTTTTTTTAATAAAATGGGAGGCAAATATTGAGCACAGTATTATTAATTAAATCTTGCCCAAGTACTTTCGCTTCCTAGAGCATCTTCAGAGGCTAAGAAAAGACAAATAAATTATTACCACCATAAAAAACAGAAAATTGGCTTACTTATCTTCTTCTTATGGTGCCCTATCTAGTTAGTAGATGTTGGCAACAATTCTGGCATACTCCTCTCGATGTTGTGTATAGAGTACATGGGCATCGCAAATTTGTCAAATCCCCTATGTTTTTAAACCATGAGTACCTATTTCTTTCTTTCGATGCCCCGTTTTCCTTCTACTTTCCTTACATAATAAGATTTAAGAACTGGTACTTGGAATTTCGAAATATATGACCCAGATAAGCAGTTTTTCTTCTTTTTATTATTGGCAGCAATTCTCGTTCTCTGTCCATTCGATTTAATACTTCGACATTTGTTGTGCGATCTGTCCAGGGAATTTTAAGTAGTCTTCTAAATACCCTCATTTTATGGGCTTACTTATGCGTAATGATAAATACCGATTTCTACAGTTGATTCTACAGGACAAGATTGAGGGTAAGAGAGGCCCTGGACGTAGACATATATCCTGCCTGGCCAATTTTAGGAAATGAACTGATCTAACGTCAACTGATCTATTTCGAGCTGCTGTGAATAGAATAAGATGGGACAATGTGGTCGCCAACATCTCTAGACGAGAGGCACATTTAGAAAAAAAAAAAAAATCAAAATAAAACTTCATACGAAAATACCTTTGATTTATTTACTCACAGTTACATTTGTTTTGTTTTTATTGTAGCATCTTTCAGTACGTTATATAAAATAAAAAAATAACCTAATTTTACTCTTTTCTAGTCGCTTATATCTCTAAAAGTTAAAAATAACGGATCTGCTGAATTCAGTAGAAAACATTTTGGTTCAATTTTAATAACAGCTGGAGTTTTATCGGTTACTCTGACTTCACTATTTAGTAGAACAGTAATTATCGCAGTTTTCGTGCTGATCATACCGAATCTCTCACCTGAAATAAAATTGTGTAGTAAAAATTAAAAGTGTGTAGTAAAATGTGTAGTTATTAAAAAAAAACGAATACAACCAATGTATCTTTGTTGTTATTCAAAAAATGTATGCGAATAAGAGTCAAATAACAAAAACTTTGCATGATATACCTTTTGATGAGTTATTATAAACACAACTCCTAAAATGTTACATTCCGAGGAAAACACATGATGATTCTAAGGTAATAATAAAATTAATAGCAGCAGTTAAGTTTCATTAAAAAGATATAACCAAGGTATAGAATGTGATATATGGTTAAAACTGCCTACTATGCTGTTTCACTGTATCACTTTGTTTTGGTTGCCCTCTCTTATAAACGGGTTATACTGCAGCCAACAATATTCATCTAGTTTTTACGATTCCTTTTTCAGAATTCTGGAACAGTGTATAGGTTTACGTCTGAATAAAGTTCATCTTAAAGGTTGATTCGACTCGAAATCTTTTAATAGTGCAGTAAAAAAAACTGTTTTAATTAACTATTATAGTTTTTAGGTTTAATTGTTAGTTTAGCGCCTTCTACAAAATAATTTTTTAAAATAGTTTTTGAAGTGAAATAATTTATTAAAAAGCCAGATATGTATTTATTTAATTACATTTTAAATAAACTAAAATTTGATTTATGGTATTTTGTTACCTTTAACCCGCCGTTACACGCGCTATGAGGGAATACCTCACCAATGAAACTGTCTTGGCTAATACGATAAGCTTGAGCACCGAGGAATGCCTTTATCATTTTGATGAGAGGGTATGACAAAGTTTTAGAATATTTCATGCGGTCAGTGTGCTGTGATACTAGAAAGAAGTAACATCCCTCTTTAGGTGAGCGTATTCCTCACTGCGCTTGCAATCACGGTGACATCACGTTTCATTTAGCTCAAAGAAACTTTTAGGTTTTTGATTAATATTTGGGTAAGTTTAATTAAAATATTATTGTTTAGGTGATCAGTTAATTTTAATTTGAACTTTTAGTAAAATGGATTCGCGTAAAGAACGTTAATTACTTCAGTGGCTTGCTGAAATTGAAAATGAGGAAAACAGCGAAAGTTTGGAAAACCTCGATGATAGTAAAGGAAGTGAAATTGATGAGGTGAAAATACAAAATTATAACACGGATAGTGAAATGTCGGCGAGTTCTGAAGATGAGGGGGACTATATTCCTTACCTATTCAAATACTCGATTATAGACTTGTTACGATAACATTGTTTAATTTTAGGTAAAGATAATCAAATCGTTTGGAAGGTCCATCACGAAAATCGTTATACTAAAACTCTAGTTAGGAATATCCTGACCAAAAAACGTGGAGTAAAAGGTTCCGCAAAAGAAAAAAAATCCATCAGTGTTGGAGTTTATATTTTTCAGATGACATTGTTGAAAAATTGTGATATATACAAACAAGTATATTTTCAAAATTCGACCAAGAGATGCAACGGACACAAATTTAGACGAAATTAAAGTACTTTTTGGACTACTTTACTTCGCTGGCACCTGAAAAAGTGCTCATGTAAGTGTGGATGACTTATGAACTGCGGATGGGCCAGTTTTGGACCACACCGATTTGATGATTTTAGCAATAGAGAAAAGCGTAGGAAAACGGACAAACTAGCGCCGATACGAGAAGTATTTGACTGTTTTGTGGAAAAATGTAAGCCTAATTATGAAATAGGACGGTATGCTACAGTTGATAAAATGCTGGAAGCCTTTCGTGGGAAATGTACAGTTAGGCAATATATTCCTAGTAAGCCAGCGAAGTATGGCATTAAAATTTATTCACTGGCTGATGTAGAAAACTGGCCCACTAGTAACTTGGGGGTGTATGTAGGTAATCAGCCAAATGGCTCATTTCAGCAAGATAATAGTTCGGCAGCACTTGTGAAACGTTTGATAAAACCTATTGCTAATACAGATCGTAATATTACATGCGACAATTGCTTCACTTCAGTCAGACTGACAATAGACCTACTAAATAATATGCGGACTACATTAGTGGGAACTCTAAGAAAAAAACAAGCGTGAGATACCAACAATTTTTCTCGCTAAGAAAGAAAGGAATAAAAATACAAAAAGAGGTTAATCTTTGTAAATGGGTATATTTATTTATATAATATATATATAAATATATATAAATAAATATACCCATTTACAAAGATTAACCTCTTTTTGTTATACGTGGTATACAGCCAGCTACAGGAATTTTTTCCTTGTGGATTTTGAATAAAAATACGTCTATGTTTGCTTTTGGCAAAGAATGCTTACTTACCTCCTACGTACCAAAGAAAAATAAAAATGTTTTAGTTTTGTCGACTTTGCACGATCAAGATATTATTGACCATAAAACAGGTAATGCTAAAAAGCCTGAAGTGTTAACATTTTACAACCAAACGAAATCTGGTGTAGATGTGGTTGACAAATTAAAATCTTTATATTCAGTTTCAAGAATAAGTTGTAGATGGCCGCTTACAATTTTCTTCAGCCTTTTAAATATTGGTGGCATAAACTGTCATATTCTTTACTATGAAAATACTAGTGTTGAATTACCACGACGTAAATTTTAAAAAAATCTGACTTTAGAACTGATTAGACCACATCAAATGTTACAAATAAACATAAGAACTCTCCCTGTATTATTAAAAATGCAAATAAGGGACCATGTGAGAATTCGAGATGAAGCAGAGCCTATAGAAATGGATCAAGTATCTAATAAATGTGCATACTGTACTAAAAAGAAGAACCGAAAAACTCATACAAAATGTTGCAAGCCAAATTGTAGAAGACCGATTTGTAAGGAACACACCAAAACTTTGTGTAATTCCTGTTGGGAAATAGAAGAGGAACAATCTGAGTAGATGCATTTATTATTTTTAGATGTGTGCAATATTTTTAAAACTTTTCATTTGTGTATTGATTATCTGTTTTGTCCATTAACATATTATTTTTGCTTTATGTATTTGACATTTTTATACTTTTGATCTATATTATTTTATCACTTTTTATTTTGCTTATTTATTTGCTTTGTTAAATTATTACAAACATTGATTTATGGGACTTTCTATAATATGTGAGTATAAACCATTTAATTTTTATACATGTTGAAATTCATTCTTCCTCGAAATAAGTCGAATTGATGTAGGTGAGGGCGACGCTCATACGCGTGCAAACATGTCACAATCGAAGACGCGTGTAACGGCGGGTCAATAATAAAAATGTTTTTAAATGGTAGGTATATAAAATATTATCAAACAAATTAGAGTTTTAATAAATAAAAATAAGTTTTTTTGTTAACTAATTTTTAATTTTTGTTGTTATGGTAAAAACGTAGAAATATGAATAATTCCAGAAAAGACATTCATAGTTAAGGTCAACAAATTATATACAGTGTATATCAGTTTATGAAAAAAGAAAAAAAAATAAGAATACCAAATAAGCCCCATGAGGAATTTGCAGGAAAGAGTGACCAAAGCCTCTGATGTTTCTGTTAATACGTTTTAACGTATTATTCAAGAATCGTATAAAAAATCTCCAGGTGAACCCTTTCAATCACCTCGAAAAACTATTAACAAACCTTCAACTTCCAAAGGATCCGTTAAAAACTTTGAAAAGAAAATATTTCTTAGAATTCTTTAATCTTTCACTATAATCCACAAAGAATACCTACAACGAAATGAGTTTTTGATGAAGAAAAAAATGAAGAAGGGGTGAATTGTAGAGGAAAGGCGCTTAATATTGGATTTTGTTTAATTCAATTTTTTAGGGTCAAAAAACATTTTAGAATAAGTTTTTGTACTTAAATTGTGCTATAACATCAATAAAAACAATTTATGGATATTAAAACATTTATTTCATCATTAAACAATGTATGTATTGGCCAAAATTAAAAAATGACCCTAATACCCAATCCAAAATTAAAAACCTATTTTTAAATACAAAAATCACACAAGTAAGTGTTCTTTTTGTTATTACCAGCACACTCTTTATGTGACCATCTGAAGCAACTTAACCACTATACCCACTTTTCTCCATGTTGGTCCTTTTACTTTCTCTTACTTCTTTTATCTTTTTATTTGTGACCATCGCCTTTTTTTAGTTTTCTTTAAAACCTTAAATGTTGGCAACTGTTCTTTATTTTTAAGTGATTCTTTTCTTTGTTTTTCTTTAATGCTAGCTTCTAAATCATTTTTGTATCGCGTACTTGTAATTAAAGCCGCAGATCCGGTTTTACGTCCCCTATTTGAAGTAGGTGTCGATGAACTGTAGGATGGTGAAGGTGAAAAACTTTTACAATGTTCGATAACTGATTATTTTTTACACTGCTACTCATTTGATGCTTCGGTGGGATTTTTCAATAGACAGTTGAATTCATCATCATCCAGCCGAATTTTTCACATCCATTGTTGGATATAGGCCTCCTCCAAACGTCTCCAGTTCTCTCTATCTCGTCGGTCCATCGGGTGGGTGGTCTGCCTCGACTTCGCTTGTCGGCTCTTGGTCTCCACTCCAATAATCTCTTCGTCCATCTTCCGTCTTCCATTCTAGTAACATGTCCAGCCCACCTCCACTTTTGTTTATTGATTCGCAGTATAATATCGTCTACGCCAGTTCGTCGGCGTATCTCCTCATTTCTTACGCGATCTTTCAAGGTCAGGCCCAGCATTGATCTCTCCATTCGCCTTTGTGTTACCCTCAGTTTTTCGGCAGTAGCTTTCGTTAAAGTTAAAGTCTCTGCTCCGTAGGTCAAGACTGGTAAGATGCATTGGTTAAATGCCTTCCTTTTCAGGTGAATTGGGATATTTGTTTTAAAAATGTCTCTCATCCGTCCATATGCCGCCCATCCCAACGTGATTCGTCTATTTAGCTCGCAGGTTTGGTTGTCTCTGGTTATTCTAATTTCATGACCCAAGTATGTGTATTTATCGATTAATTCTACCTTGTTGTTATTGATCTGTATCTCTTCGCTGGGAACCATA